TAAGTGGGAGTCGTGGAGGGGCTGGGCAAGGGTGAGAGGTGCCCACCTGCTTTGGGAGGAGAGGAGGGGAACCCTTCTTCATCCAAAACAAGCATTTTCTCAGTGCAGCAGCCTCTTTTGGTTGGTGTGCAGAGGGAGTATGTCTGGACTTGGTCAGTCCCTTCTCCCTTCCCTCTCGACTCACGTAACCGCAAGCTTTAGCTATTAAAATGTACATAAATGTAAAGTTATTTCCAACAATAGTGGTTGTCAGGCCAGTTTTTGTAAGATTTGTGTTGTGGGACCAGCCCACACCTACTAACACGGCTCTTTCTGTAGCTCTGACTTGTCTGCCAGGGGCATCCTGACAGGTAATGATGGTTTCATTGCATTTAAAGAACTTGTAAAGCTAGGGCTGGAGTTATCTCCTGTAGTATTTATCTTTAGATGATCTGACACAGGCCAGCTAAAATTTTTGCTTTAAATTTACCTTTTAAAAACTGCTTCGGGGGGGGAGGGAACCAATTTTTTTTTTTTTCCCCTTTAATTTTAAAAAGTGATGTGATGTGACTGTAGTGAGGGACAGAGGCTGAACGCCGCCTTCTCAGGAGGAAGAAAATGAGCAGCAGGCTCCAACAAAAGATCAAGCAATGGCATTGCCACTCAGCCAGGACCTGGAGCTAAACAAGGGCCAGGTAACCTGCTAAGAGACTTCTCAGAAGACAGATGTTCCTGTCACAACAAAACCAAAGACATTGAACTATGATAAAGAGAATAATACTGGAAAAGCCAGGAAACCTCATCCTGGAGAATCCCCTTTGGCTGAAACTTCTCCCTCTCATTTGTAACATCTACAGCAGATTTGGTGTGATAATTCTGACAGAAACAGACCCAAACGATCACTTCTGGGCAACAGCAACGGTACCAAAGCCAATATAAATGCAATTTCCAAACCAGTCTATCAGGTTCCCTTTAAAAGACACTGCAGGTATCATGCCAGCGATGTATGTAACGCATTTCTGATCAATCAATAAAGTTCACATCAAAGCCCTGTGTGTGTGTGTGTGTGTGTGTGTGTGTGTGTGTGTGTGTGTGCGCGCGCGCGCGCGCGGCTAACGGCTGTGGGAACGGTACCGGCTCCTGGGCTGAGGCCGTCGGGTCAGCTGGGCCCATTTACACCCAGCAAGCTGAGGAGGACAGCACTCTGACTTCCAAACACAGCTGGGAGGTGGGATGGCACCTTGGGAAAATGCTGTGAGCCCAGGTAGAACCGGGACACTCACCTCCTGCTGCAGCCTCAGCTTTGCCAGTGACTTACAATGACACCTGTGAGCAACTCCGCAAGGGCAGAAACAGCCCAGCAAAATAAAGGGTGTTTTAACCTGGGTCAGGAGGTGACCAGCTCGTTCCACTGGTCCCAGTTAAAGTGACTGTGGGAACAGGAGCTGGCTCTGCAGGTGCTCATGTCTCAAGGGATTGGGTCAGCAGCAAGAAAAACACGCTGAAATTGCTGCTACGTAAGTGACAAGGCTGCACCTCGCGTGTTAAACAGTAAAACTGTCTGCAGTTGGTGCCTGCAGCTTCTGAACAGTATCAGAATATTTCAAAGGCACTAAATTAGTTTAAAAACAAAACAAAACCAACAAACCTGAGACATCCCATGCAGGGCAATGACTGTTTCTTGCAAAGCATTTCCTAGATTCCCTCACTGTTCTTCTGCAATGACAAGAAAATAAAACCTGAGAATTGGGTAATAATTCAAACAGCTGAGCTGAAAAATGACAGTGAAGCCACTACTGCAAAGCACTCTTGCTCTTGATACAAGCACAAAGAGTACTGAAAATACCTTTTTTTTTTTTTTTTTAAAAAAAAAGCAAACCAAACCATGATAACCATATCTGCAAGATGTAGAAGTTTTGGCAGTCACAAAACACCAACCACTAAACAATGGGAAAGAAATTATTAGGAAAAAAATATCACTTTCATGCTTTTTAATAAATAAAGGGATCTTGATTTCAAAAAAAAGCATCCAATGCTTGTTTCGGGGACACTCACCGTAGGTGTGAGCCGAATCGTCTCCTTGCTGTCAGGAAGGAACAGAAGCTGCTTTGGTTTTTTTCTTCTTTTAGGAGCAGAGTTGCTAATACAGAAATAGAACCAAAGCTTCAACGAGAGGGAAAAAAAAAAAAACCCCACACAACCCTCCACTTTGACAAGACAAAGAGCACCAAAGAACAATCTCCTGGCCCGGTTTGATGCACCAGGGAAAGGGGAATTCACCTTCCCCCCCCTCGACACATTTAAAAAACTACAAACAAGTGCATACATGTTAAAACACTTGGAAAATGGTTTAATGATGTTTACAACAGAAATGAACTGTACAATTACAGTAAGTTTAATATATATAAAAAATTACAGCAGACAAATGCATCTACACAAAATCTACCTTTTCATTCTGATTTATTGTAATCTACACAATCTCTCAATGCCCACAGCTATCTGCAGGCAACCACTGGGAAAATAATAATAATAATTATTAATAATAATAATAATAATAAAGGACATCTTTAAAGAGACAGCATTTCGCCTTCCTCCTCACCCCTCGTGTGATCAGCAAGGTTTTGAAATGTGTGGGACTCTCACATTTCAGTCTCAAGAAAAGCTTGGGTTGCGTTTGGGGAGGGTGCTCCCGTATGGCCCTGGATTTCAAGTGTTCTGCTGACCTGACTGACGCGTACAAATGCAGAATACGAGGAAGGGCAAGAGAAAAAAACACCAACAAACCAAAAACCAAACCTCCCAGCCAGTGTAAGCAGGCAGCTGCACAGAGGAGTGAAACCATTAAGACTGAAAATGTCTCTTTTTATTTAGAAAAGAAGCAAAAAAAGGGACTGCCCAGGCGCTACAGACATTCACAAACCATCGTCTCTTTGAAAACTATCGCCAGATTTAGAAGAAAGGGCTTGTTCTCCAACTCCCTCCTCTTCATCCAAAGGGTCAGCTTTCAAAATAACGTGTTCAATATTTTTTAATTATTTTAAAACCAAAATTTAAGCTACTTCCTCTTTGGCCCATCCCTTAAAACCAGTGAAAACCCCTTTACACTGAGAAAGAACCTCAGGTTAATGGGGGAGAAAATAAAGAAAAAGAACATGCTGTCTCTTTAAAAAGAAAGAAAGAATCCCAGTTGGGAGCGGCCGTCAGTGAAAATGCGATCCAAATTGGCGGTCTGGTGGAAATTCCTCACGGAATAGTTATGTACAGTTTAAAAACCCTTAAGTTGTTTTTCTTTTTTTTTTTTAAGTATTTATTTATGAACACCTAGGCAGTGAAAACTGTTATGTTAATACATACATAGACACACCCAAAACATACAAAAATACTATTATTTCAAACTACTAAGAATAGGACAAGTTCAGTTATCTCCATGCTATGACTTTAAGAGCATTACACTGAAACAAACAAGAATTTAAACGACAATTTTTTAATATCCCAGAAATATACCAAAATATACATCTAAGCTTTGGAATTACTGAGGTTAGACTAATGCAAGTGCTGGGTAATCGTACTTAATACACAAGTCTAAGGTTCTGCAGGAAAGAAATTATCTTTGGTATCTGCATCAGGCTAATAATATTAACATTTGGATTTTGCTTTGGGATAGAGCTTGTATGACCCTAGAACCAAACACCCCCCAATCAACTGAGATTAAAAAGATCCATGTAAAAAGTTCCTCCATTTGCAATCCCCCCCCCAAAAAAGTTAAAAAGTCACAGGCATCTACCTAGCATAAAAGGTTGAGAAATACAATGCATAGTTGCACAGTGGTGCTGCAAAAAATCAAAAGAAATCTAGAAAAAAAGGAACTATAGAGGAGAAATGAAAAGCTGCTTCATCATCATCATCATCATCATCATCATCATCATCATCTTCTTTCAGGGATTTCTCACGACAGGACAGCCTCTTCCAAGCAGTGACGGGGGGGAGGGGGGAAGCTCAGAAGTGCACCTCAGCGTGTATTAATCAACATCACCCAGCCCCCAGAGGGTTCAAGCACCCAGCAGAGCAGCCAATCCTGCACCCAAGTCTTCAGCTCCTCAACCCACCTGCGAAGCCCCCGGACGCCCCTTCCCCAAGCGCCGCACCCCGGATTTCACCCCCGGGGTGGGGAGATTCTTCCCGGGGGGGGTTGGGTTGGGTTGGGGCAGCTCCCCCTGGCCTGGGGTCCAGCTGGGACCCCCAGGCTGGCATCCAGCGGGGACCCTCGCCCGGGGCCAGGCCGGCCTCACAGATGGGCTTGGTGCTGAAGACGCCCTTTGTCTTTGGTTTGTTTGTTTGTTTTGAGTTTATACAATCATTAGGAAATCTTTGGTTTTGGCTGGAAATTTTAAAAGAACAAAACAAAACAAAGAAACCCCCCCCTCCCGACGTATAGCAGCCACCGTGACCTGACAAAGCTTCTCTTTCCCATGGGGGTAGGGGAACTACATTCAAATAAAGATGGACCGGGTGAAGGATGCAGCTTCTGGCCAGGCTGGGGAGTGGGGAAGGGATACAGGATTGTCAAATAATAAAGAAGAAAATTAAATATTTGGAGATTTGTTTGTCCTTTTTTTTTTTTCCTCCTTTTTTTTTTTTTTTTTTCCTTTTTTTTTTTTTTTGTAATTTTTAAA